TGGCTGGGAGTCGTCTCCAAACTTTTGGAAGCATTACCGGTTGTGGGCCGTCATACGCATGACGGGCTGCTGGCCCCTTGCCGTGCTTGGCCAGGGTGGGCTGCCAGCCACGCTCTCGCGGTGCGGGGCATGCGGAGCGTCGAATGTAGCAGTCGACCATCCCCTGGTAGCGTGTCAGGCCACGGTTCAGCACCGTGCCCTCCTTGCGCGCGACGGCCCGCTCATGCAGGGCGCCGCCCCGGAGTTCGCCTTACAAGTCCTTTTTTCCGAGGGTCTCCCGTCGCGTGCGCGTGCTGCGCACGTCAGTTACGTGGGCGCTGCAGTTTTGCAGGCTGCTTGGCCAGCGCCGCCCCCTCCGCCTCCGCCTCCCCCTCGGCCTCCCCTCCCGCGCGCCCCCCCGAGCTAGAGTGGTTTCGTCCCCGCAACCAAGCCAGGGTGGGCTGAGGCACAACCTGCTATGCCGTATCCCTAGACAGGCGCTTGTTGGCCCTGCCCGGTTGTCCGTCCGCCGCGTGGGCTGCGAGGGGAGGGGGAACACGGGCGCGTGCCTCATGTGATCGAGCCCCCCCGCTCCGGCCGCCCCAGGAAGGTCCCGCGCTGTCCGTTCGGCGTGGGCGGGGAGGGCGGCAGGCAGAGAGGTTGTCGATGTGTGGGCAAGATGGGGTGTGAAAGACCACTACCTGACGGCGTACATATCCTCCCTCGGAGCGGCTGGTACCAGCAGCTGTGAGGGGCGGCGCGCCCGGGGCCGGGCGGCGGGCGCCCCGCGGGCGCCCGGCGCGGGACCCGGAGTGTGCTGTATGAGCGCGAAACGAAACGAAAACGATGCCGCGGTCGACGTTGAGGTGCCCCACAGTGGTCGCCGCAACGCTTTGGTCGTGAAGGGCTTCTTAAACATGGCCAGCATGGGCGAGACCTGCGAGGATCTTGGGTGCCACTTCTACTGGCCGGCCTGGCAGTTCAAGCCCAAGGAGGAGGTACTGATAGTTGTCCAGAGCAGGGTGCCGTTCATCTATGGCGCGCTGGGTGCCGACGTGGATGTTTTGGTTGGCGAGACCATGAAGGAGATGCTGGTCGCGGCGGCCCCCGACATCATGAAGGAGCAGGGCGGCGAGTTTTTCGAGTTTCTCTTGGGGGACTCCCCCCTCCCCTCCCATCCCCCTCCCCAGTGCTCTCAGTGCAGCTGTGCAAGTGCCAGTGCCCCCCCGCGCGCCCACAGTGAGTGTGGGGCGGGGGCGCGCCCCCAAGGAGCGGGGGGTCTTCGGCCGAAGCCAGGCGAACCCCGAACCTCCCTCGAGGCCGCCCCGACGCTGCCCGGCGGCGCGCTGCCCTCAGGGAGGGCCCGGCCCGTCGCCGCCAGCCGCCTGCCGCCTGGGCGGCCGCCGCCGCAGCAGCCGTGTTTTCTGCCGCCGCCGCCGCCGCCGTCGCTGGCTGCCGTCTGCGGCGCGTCGGGCCCGCAGCGGCCAGGCTCTCTTGCCAGCCGCGCCGGGCTCGGCTGCTAGCGCCTGCAGTCGCCTCCCGCCGGCGCCGGCCGCGGCGGCGGAGCCTGCTGCCGTTGCTCGCCTTCCCCCCTCCGGTCCGCCGCGGGCTGGCCAACCAGGCGCCTAGGCCCCAGTGGCGGGCCCGCGCCTGCCGAAGGCGCGCCGCCGCCAGCGCGAGGGGCCTGTGGGACTACCAGAGCCCGCGGCCAGAGCATGCCATTTTCGCACGCGCCGATTCTGGCACTGCAGCTGATGAAGACGCTCGGCTCTGGCTTCGGATCCCGGGTCGCCCGGGCAACCGCCTCAGCCCGCGCCGACAGCGTGCCCTTCTCGCACGCGCGGAGTCCGGCATTGCATCAGATTGCACCTAGCGCGGTTCTCTTCGGCCCCCTGTCGCTGAGTAGCGGCAGAACCCGCTGCCACTGAGCGCCCGTCGGGCACGCACCAATCCCGGGCAAGCTCAAGAGCCAGCAAGCAAGGCCAGCGGCCGGCGCGCGCGAGGGGCGCGCGCGGGGCGCAGGCATGGCGCCCTCCAGGGGGCCACGGGGTCCGCGCGCCGACGCTCGGAGCATGGGGAGTGCTCCGGGCGAAGGGGGGCGCCCACCGGACCCAGGCCCGCCACCAGGCTTCTGGACGCTGGCTGGGCGAAGGAGACGGGCGCAGGGAGGCGGGAGGCGAAGGACGAGCCCGCCGAGACCTCGTCACCACGGCGGGCGCGGAGCGAGAAACTCGGTCAGGAGAGGGGCCACGACCACGACTACGACTAAGCACCCAACGACACGACTTGCCGTCGACCCCCTCCGCTTGAACCCCTTCCGCCACCTGGCTCAAGGCGAGCACAGCCTCACACCTGCCCCGCCGCCCGAAGACACAGACAGCCGACCCAGACTCGCAGACCCACCGGTCGACTTCCAAACGCTCAGACTCCGCAGCGCTGGGTATTCGCCTTGGCCCACGCGGTGCGCCACGAGGAACCACCGTCGTGCCAGATGCCGCGCCGAGAAGAGGGAGAGAGCGAACAGAGAGGCACACGCCTACCACGAACATGCCGAGACCATGCGGCAGGAGGAATCTTTCTCCAGGCGACAGACCTACCTCGAGGACCGGTTCTACCTGAGGCGGCACGCGACGCGGGGCAGCGTAAAAATCGAAGAGCGAACCACCACGAAGCCCGACGACCAAGCTCACAACACCACCGACCACGACTCATCCACACCAAGCACGCGAGACTGCATCCAAAAGCTCCTGCGCGCGCCCCACGGACCCAACACGAGACCCGACTACACGAACGAGGGCGCAACGACCGTCATGATGCAGGCCGGGGTGGGGACGCTGGAGACGGACAGCCCGACCCTGCAGCCGAGCGCACGCCAACGCGCCCGCCAGCGGAAGAGGAACGCTGCCGAGCCAACGCCAGCAAGGGGACCGCAGAGCGTTGCCAACACGAGGATGCCACTTCCGTCCAGTGGCAGCCCACGATGCTACCACCACGTCCTGCCCGCGCCGGGCCGACAAGGGCAACGCAGAACTGCAGCTACCGCCAATGCACTCCCGCCACCCTTGCTCACACCGGCAGCCCCGCAGCTCCCAGAAACGGGAGCCACCGCTTCTACCTGGCGCGCAAAGGCGAAGAGGGCAAGCCCTCGCACCAGAGCCGCGCGCAAACGGGCGGCCGCAGCAGGAGAAGCAGCAGAAAGCTCCTTGCACCAGCAGAGCGACCACCGCGACCACCAACACCACGCGCAGCAACACCAGCGCGACGAGGAGCACCGCAGCGGCAACAACGCCCACGACTGCGACCAGCACCACGCGCAAGAACACCAGCGCACAGCACAACGCAGCGACCAAGACCACCACGACGTGCACCACCACGAGCAGCAGCACCAGCGCAACCCCTCCAAAAGCCGCCGCGACGCGCGATGGGGTTACCGAGGCGTTCGAGTGGGCGAGGCCAGCCACCCAGGACCTCCAGACGCACCCGGGGACAGCCCCCGAACACCGCGCCCGAGACACACGACGTCACCACCAGAGTCGCCAGAGCACGCACCCGGCGGCGCGGCGCCAATCCCGTCGCAGGAAGAGACCCCACCACGGGCTCTGCTCCGGCTACAAGCCGCAGGGTTTCAGCTTGGCGCGCCAGCCGTGCCGGACCACTTTGGCGCCGTCTTCGGGAGGGCGCCAGAAGGCGGATGGAATTTTGCGGGCTTATTCGCCCCGCACGGCGACAGGCAGGGCGAGGCAGCAGAAGCGGCAGCAACAGCGCGGGAGGAGCCAGACCGATCACCAGCGCCGGCAGAAGACGCCAACATCTGCGTCGTCTGCCAGGAAGTGATCCCGCACCATGGGGCGGGCAGGGACACACCAACACAGGAGGCATGCTGTGGCGCCCACTTCCACTTGGGCTGCCGCGCCGACTTGGCCCGCCACCGTGGCGAAGCCACCACTTGCCCGCAGTGCCGAGCCAGACTCCCGACCACCGCCGAGTTACGGGCATGGTGCGCCGCGCAGGGCGTGGACATAGACCGACCGCCGCCCCCGGCCCACGACACCAGCGCCCAGGCCGTCCCAGATTACAATGGGTTTCGAAGCTACGCGCGAGGCGAAGAACCACCACCACGGGAGCCACCGCTGCTCCGAGCGCTCTGCTGCCGACGCCTCGGCCCACCGCCCGAATTCTCCGAAGTGCCAGACCGCCGCATGGAATGGTCCCCGGAGATCGCTGCACGCGACACCAACGGGATGATCACGCAGTGGCTTGAGTCATGGCTTTGCCCACGCTGCGGGGCGCGCTGCGCCGTCGACACGATCGCGCCACAGAGCGGCCAACAGATGTGCGCGAGGTGCCTAGAGCAGGGCACGTGGACCGCGGAAGCCAGCACGGCCGAAGGCGAATGGAGGTGCGCTTTGTGCGAACCAGACGCATGGACCAGAGAAGTGCCTTCTGCCCCACCACCGGCCCCGCCAGGTCCAGAGCCATCACCACCAGCCCCCCCGCCAGGGCCAGAGCGAGCCGCCGCGAGGCCGCCACAACACAGCCCTTTCGCCGGCTGGGCCCCACCGCAAGCGCCCCTCCAGGCACGCACCAACTCGGCAGTGTACGTGCCCCTGCTGCTAGCAGCCGCCGGGCTTTTAGACCCAAGCGAAGGGGCGCAGTGGAGTGAGCACCGCCTCACACAGGCCTGGTGGCAGCCGACGGTAGAGACGTTGCGGCTTGCAGAACCTGTGCTCACAGGGCCCTTCGTGCAAATGCTGGCGTACACCGACGCTCGGCCCGGGGAAGTACCAGCGGTGCTTGCTGCAGACGGAGGAGAGCGCCCAGGGCACGTATCCTTTGCGCCAGTCGTCCAGGCCGTGGCGCACAGCAGCACCGGCTACATACAGCCGCTGGTGCAAGACCTCCTCCTCGAAGCCTTCGGCGGCGGCGTGCTTGCACGAGGAGTTGACGCACGCACAAACGAGCTGCGCAACCCAAGCTTCTGGGCAGACGCGGCGCCTCCGCCGCCGCTCCCACCGCCAGAGGCGCCCCAGGAGCCGGAGCTGCCTGGAGACCAGCACGCGAACGGCCCTGCCGCCGTGGTGGGCAGAGGCGCCCCCGGAGACAGAAACGGAAGAGGCGCCAGAGAAAGCAGACGAGGAAGAGGCGTCAGAAGAGGCCGAGGCGGCGGAGAAGGGGGAGGAGGAGGCCCGAGCAGCGGCAGCGACGGCGGAAACACGGGCGCGGAGGAGGGAGCCAACGACGGCGGCAGCAACTCCAGCACTGAGGAGACCGACCACGAGGCCGAACCAGCGCAGGCCCCAGCCCCGAGCAACGGACCCACCGAAGAGTCCTGGGCAGCTCTCGGGGGCATCGACCTCCAACAAGAGCTACGGAGATTCGTGCCGACACTACAGAACGTGCCACGTTTCCTGCGCGCGGAGACCCGGATGGCGTTCACCACGGCCCTGCAGAGGATCAAGCGAGGACACGACCAGGGCAACCAAGCAACAACCCACCAAGGATGGACACTGTTCCTCCTCGCCTCGAGGCTCCTGCTAAGCAAGCCCAAGGGTACCGACGCCGAGGGCCGACAAGAGCTCTTGGAACGCGCCCAACGGTTCCGCCAGGGCGACTGGCTGGCCCTGCTACACGAGGCCAACACCACGGCCGGCGCGCGCGCAGCGCCGAGGCCAGCCACAGAGGAGCAACAGCAGGAGAGACGCAGAGAACAGGCTTGCGCGCACGTCCGAAACGGCAACCCGTCACGGGGGAGACAGGTCTTGACCGCGGCGGCGATTGCGCCCGGCAACGGGGAGACACTAAACAGGCTGCGGGACCCGGCCCGCCGACCGCCTACCCTGAGCCGCCGACTACCCGCCAACCTCGACCGCGCAACCGACAGAGCGAGACTCGACAATGCCAAATTCCTCGCTTGCCTCCGGTCCGCCAAAAAGGGCACGGCAGCAGGACCGTCGGGGGTCCGCGTTGAGCACCTCAAGCCGCTGCTGGAACACGAAGAGTCCATGGACCTGCTTGGATTCGCCGCCGCTGCCCTCGCGGAGGCGCGGGTGCCCTCCCCGATTGCCCGCGCTCTAGCCCTCTGCAAGATGACGGCGCTCCAGAAACCAGACAACGGAGTACGGGGCATCGCCACCGGCGACGTTTTCCGCCGACTGGTCACCAGGGCGCTCGCTCAACAGTTCGCCGAGCAGTTCGCGGCCGCAACTGCGCCCTTCCAGTTCGCCCTGACGACGCGGGCAGGAACCGACTGCGCCGCCATGCTGCTGAGGTCAGTGCTGGACCACGACGACGACGCAGTGATTGTCAGCATCGATGGAGTCGGGGCTTTCGACCATGTGTCGAGGTCGGCCTTCTTCCAGGAGCTCCTTGCTCGCCCAGAGCTGGCCGGCTTAATCCCCTTCGTGAAGATGTGGTACGGGCAAGACTCCACCTACCTCTGGCAAGACGAAATGGGGACTGTGCACGACGTGCACCAGGGAGAGGGAGTGGAGCAGGGGGACGCGCTGGCCCCAGCCCTCTTCGCTCTTGCCCTGCACGGAGCGCTGGCGGGCGCCTCCGGGACCCTAGAGCAAGGGGACTTCCTAGTCGCTTTCTTGGACGACGTGTACATCAAGACCACCCGGGCCAGGGCCAGAGCCGCTTTCGACACCACCACCGGAGCAATTCACCTCCACGCAAACGTGGATTGCCACCTTGGCAAGTGCCGGGCCTACAGCAGGGGCGGAGGCGCAGCGCCGCCCGGAATAGGCGAGCTGGGACAAGACGTCTGGAGGGGTGACAGAGCACCACCCGACCGAGGAATCAAGATCCTTGGCACCCCCCTAGGCACCCCAGAATTCGTCGCCGCACACCTGGAGAGCAGACTACAGGAAGAGAGGAGACTCCTGGACGAACTGGCGCACCTGCCCGACCTACAGTGCGCTTGGCTCCTCCTCCTCCTTTGCGCCTCCCCGCGGGCCAACCACCTGCTGCGAACCCTGCCGCCAGAGGAAATCGCAGAATACGCGAGAGGCCACGACGGCGACATGTGGGCCACCCTGCGCCGCCTCCTCGGGGACCCGGCAATGTCGCAAGACGAAGAGCGACGGGCGCGCGCGCTGGCAGCAATGCCTGGACGACACGGAGGACTCGTGCTCCAAAGCGCCGCGCGCACGTCCCCAGCGGCCTACTGGGGCGCTCGGGCAGACGCCCTACACATGCTCCACCAACGGCGCCCCGTTGAAGCTGCAGCGATCAGAGACCTCCTCGACGGCACCAGGCCCGGCCGTAGGGGCAACCTTGCCGCAGCCGCCGCGGCCGCACAGCTGCTAGAAACCGAAGGCTTCCGGATACCTTCCTGGACCGACCTGCTCCAGGGGCTGCGCCCAGAAGCGCCGCCGCGCTCGGAGGCCGCCGAACCGGGGGAATGGCAGCACGGCTGGCAGTTCCACGCTTGTTCCGCACGCAACACACACTACAGGGACAACGTGTTCATGCCCAGCCTCACCAGGGCCAACCAGGCCATGCTAAGGTCAGGCTCAGGACCGAGGGCCGCCTACTGGCTTCACACCTTACCCACCACCGAGGGGCGCGTGTTCAAGCCCGCGCGGTTCCTGGCAGCCCTGCGCCAGCGCCTCAGGCTCCCGCTGCCGCTCCTCCCGCACACCTGCGGGGCAGCCGGCCACCCAGGCTGCCGGGCCAGGCTGGACACGCTGGGAGACCACCTAGCCGCGTGCCCACGCACGGGGCTTCTCGCCAGACGCGCGAAACCGCTCGAACGAGCTTGGGCGAGGGTCGCCAGAGAAGCAGGAGGGAGAGTTGTCCCCCAACAGCTGCTGCGGGACACTAACGCCGTTGTCCACAACCCGCTGGACCGCAGACAATTAGACCTAGTCGTCTACGGCATCTCGCCGAACGGCGTCCCGCTGTGCTGCGACAGCACCATGGTGTCCCCCCTCCGCAGGGACGGCTGGCACCGGCCGCGCACCTTCGACACCGACGGCGCCGCGCTACTTGGGGCCGAAAGGCGCAAACGACGCAGGTACCACGAACTCACGACCGGCCATTCAGGCCGCCTCATGGTCCTCTCCTGCGAGGTCGGAGGCAGGTGGGGCCGCGATTCCCTCCAGCTGGTACGCCTGCTTGCCAAACAGAAGGCGCGGGCCGCGCCGGCCCTCCTCCGCCGCTCCGCGGAGCTCGCGTACACCAACCGCTGGTGGGGGTTCCTGAGCGTCGCGGCCCAGAACTCGCTCATGGCCACCCTGACGGGCGACGGCTACCTAGCCTTGGGGGGAGCCGCCGGGGAGGGCGACCCAGACCTGGCCGAAGTGCTGCTCGCAGACTCCGCCGGCCCACCCGCTAGCCGCCTGCCAGCACGCCCCTGATGCTTGGCGCCGCGGCCAGCACGGCCGCCCCGGGGGGCTCCGACGAGCGCCGGGAGCACCCCCGACACGGCAGCGGGCACCACGAGGAGGTTAGCAGTACCACCACCACCACAACGGCGACCAGCAGCACCATCGCTTCGACTGCGACCCGCAGCAGAACCACCACCAACACCGCCACCACGAGAGCGACCCGCAGCACCACCACGACCACGACCAGGAGCACCACGACTGCGACCAGCAGCACCACGACTGCGACCAGCAGCAGCACCACCACGACTACGACCAGCAGCACCACCACCACCACGACCAGCAGCACCACCAGCACCACCAGCACAAGCAGCACCACCACGACTGCGACCAGCAGCACCACCACGACTACGACCAGCACCACCACGACTGCAACCAGCAGCAGCACCACAACGACCAGCAGCACCACCACCATTACCAGTAGAACCACCAGCACCACCACGACGGCGACCAGCAGCCCCACGACTGCGACCAGCAGCGCCACGACTGCGACCAGCAGCACCACGACTGCGACCAGCAGCAGCACCACCACGACTGCGACCAGCAGCACCACCACTACGACAGCGACCCGCAGCACCACCACGACCACGACCACGACCAGCAGCACCACGACAGCGACCAGCAACACCACGACTGCAACCGGGAGCAGCAGCACCGAGACAGCGACCAGCAGCACCACCACGACCCGCACCACCAGCACAACCAGCACTACCACGACTGCGACCAGCAGCACCACCACCACTACGACCAGCACCGCCACGACAACGACCAGCAGCACCACCAGCACCACCAGCACAAGCAGCACCACCACGACTGCGACCAGCACCACCACCACGACAGCGACCCGCAGCACCACCACGACCACGACCAGGAGCACCACGACTGCTACCAGCAGCACGACGACTGCGACAAGCAGCAGCACCACCACGACTACGACCAGTAGCAGCAGCACCACCACCACCACGACCAGCAGCACCACCAGCACCACCAGCACAAGCAGCACCACCACGACTGCGACCAGCAGCACAACCACGACTACGACCAGCACCGCCACGACTGCAACCAGCAGCAGCACCACAACGACCAGCAGCACCACCACCACGACCAGCAGCACCACCAGCACCACTACGACGGCGACCAGCAGCCCCACGACTGCGACCAGCAGCACCACGACTGCGACCAGCAGCACCACGACTGCGACCAGAAGCAGCACCACCACGACTGCGACCAGCACCACCACCACGACAGCGACCCGCAGCACCACCACGACCACGACCAGCAGCACCACGACCACCACGACCAGCAGCACCACCAGCACCACTAGCACAAGCAGCACCACCACGACTGCGACCAGCAGCACCACCACGACTACGACCAGCACCGCCACGACTGCAACCAGCAGCAGCACCACCACGACCAGTAGCACCACCAGCACCACCACGACGGCGACCAGCAGCCCCACGACCGCGACCAGCAGCGCCACGACTGCGACCAGCAGCACCACCACCACGACAGCGACCCGCAGCACCACCACGACCACGACCAGGAGCACCACGGCTGCGACCAGCAGCACGACGCCTGCGACCAGCAGCATCACCACGACTACGACCAGCAGCACCACCACCACCACGACCAGCAGCACCACCAGCACCACTAGCACAAGCAGCACCACCACGACTGCGACCAGCAGCACCACCACGACTACGACCAGCACCACTACGACTGCAACCAGCAGCAGCGCCACAACGACCAGCAGCACCACCACCACGACCAGCAGCACCACCAGCACCACCACGACGGCGACCAGCAGCCCCACGACCGCGACCAACAGCGCCACGACTGCGACCAGCAGCACCACGACTGCGACCAGCAGCAGCACCACCACGACTGCGACAAGCAGCACCACCACCACGACTGCGACCCGCAGCACCACCACGACCACGACCACGACCAGCAGCACCACGACAGCGACCAGCAGCACCACGAGTGCAAGCGGGAGCAGCAGTACCGAGACTGCGACCAGCAGCACCGCCACGACCAGCACCACCAGCACAACCAGCACTACCACTACCACGACTGCGACCAGCAGCACCACCGCCACTACGACCAGCACTACTACGACTGCGACCAGCAGCAGCACCACAGAGACCAGCAGCACCACCACGACCAGCAGCACCACCAGCACCAACACGACGGCGACCAGCAGCCCCACGACTGTGACCAACAGCGCCACGATTGCGACCAGCAGCACCACGACTGCGACGAGCAGCAGCACCACCACGACAACGACCAGCAGTACCACCACTACGACCGCGACCCGCAGCACCACCACGACCACGACCAGCAACACCACGACTGCGACCAGCAGCGCCACGACCGCAACCGGGAGCAGCAGCACCGAGACAGCGACCAGCAGTACCACCACGACGAGCACCACCAGCACAACCAGCAATACCACGACTGCGACCAGCAGCACCACCACGACTACAACCAGCACCACCACGACCGCGACTAGCAGCAGCACCACCACGACCAGCAGCAGCACCACCTCGACCGCGACCAGCAGCACCACCACGACTACTACCAGAAGCACTACGACTGCCACCAGCAACACCACGACCACGACCAGCAGCAGCACGACCACGACTGCCACCAGCAGCTCCACCACCACGGCCAACAGCAGCACCAGCACCACCAGCACAACCAGCACCACCACTACTACTACTAGCACCACCACGACAAGCAACACCAGCACAACCGCGACCAGCAGCACCAACACGACTGCGACCAGCAGCCCCACGACTGCGACCTGCAGCGCCACGACTGCGACCAGCCGCAGAACCACTACCAGCACCACCACCACGACTGCAACCCGCAGCACCACCACGACTGCGACCAGCAGCACCAAAACTGCGACCAGCAACACCACGACTGCGACCAGCAGCAGCACCACCACGACTGCGACCAGCAGCAGCAGCACCACCACCAAGACCAGCACCACCAGCACAACCAGCACCACCACGACTGCGACCACCAACGCCACCACGACTACGACTCGCAGCACCACGACTGCGACCAGCAGCAGCACTACCACGACCGCAACCAGCAGCAGCACCACCAACACGACCACGACCAGCAGCAGCACCACCACGACTGCGACCAGCACCAATTCCGACCGGCAACACGACCCCCAGCAACGACGGGCACCACCTGCAACGACCAGCAGCAACGACGCGCACCTGCACGACGGCGTGCACCGACGACGCCCACCGCCCCTTCCCCTCGCCTTTCCCTCGGCCTCTGTCCCCTCGTCTCGGTCCCGTCTCGTTCGCCCCCTGCCCCCGCGTCGTTCGCCCCTCGCCGTTCGGGCCCGGCTCGTGCCCCTCGCCCCCTCGTCCTCCGTCCCCCGCCCGCCCCACCCCCGCCTGGAGCCCAGACCCAGCCGCGCCTGCGAGACAAGGGAGCAGTGGCAGCAGGCTGTGGCGCTGCTGATTCCCAAACTGAGGCCCAACGTCATCAGTTGCATCGATGGGGCCAGCGTACGTGCGAAAAATGGGCAGCGGCAGTGGCAGCGAGCCAGGGAGGAGAGCGAGGCGGCAGAGGAGGAAATAGAAGAGGAGGAGAAGGCAACGGACGAGCAGGACCAGGTCGAGGAGGAGGAGGAGGCGAAGACAACCGCGCTCGACGTCAGCAGGCAGTGGCAGCGAGCCAGGGAGTCAGGACGTGGGGGGGGAGGAGGAAGACGGGAGGTGATGGCGGAGCCAAGCGTCATCAACTACAGCTCTGGGATCAGCGCACGCGCGAGAGGCGAGCAGTGGCAGCGGGCTCTACCACTGCTCAGCGGGATGCGGGAAGTGAGGTTGGAGCCGAATGGCATCAGATACAGCCCTGGGATCAGCGCGTATGCGAACGTCGAGCAGTGGCAGCAGGCTCTCCCACTGCTCAGCGAGATGTGGGACGCGAAGGTGGAGCCAAGCGTCATCAGCTACAGCTCTGGGATCAGCGCGTGCGCGAAAGGCGAGCAGTGGCAGCGGGCTCTATCGCTGCTCTGCGAGATGTGGGAAGTGAGGTTGGAGCCAGATGCCATCAGCTACAACTCTGGGATCAGCCCTGGGATCAGCGCGTGTACGAACGGCGAGCAGTGGCAGCGGGCTCAATCGCTGCTCTGCGAGATTTGGGAGGCGAAAGTGGAGCCAAGCGTCATCAGCTACAGCTCTGGGATCAGCGCGTGCACGAAAGACGAGCAGTGGCAGCGGGCTCTATCGCTGCTCTGCGAGATTTGGGAAGTGAGGTTAGAGCCAGATGCCATCAGCTACAACTCCGGGATCAGCGCGTGCGCGAACGGCGAGCAGTGGCAGCAGGCTCTCCCACTGCTCAGCGAGATGTGGGAGGCGAAGGTGGAGCCAAGTGTCATCAGCTACAGTTCTGGGATCAGCGCATGCGCGAGAGGCGAGCAGTGGCAGCGGGCTCTCTCACTGCCCAGCGAGATGGGGGAGGCGAAGGTGGAGCCAGATGCCATCAGCTATAGCTCTGGGATCAGCGCGTGCGCGAAAGACGAGCAGCGGCAGCGGGCTCTATCACTGCTCAGCGGGATGCGGAAAGTGAGATCGGAGCCGAATGTCATCAGCTACAGCTCTGGGATCAGCGCGTGCACGAAAGGCGAGCAGTGGCAGCGGGCTCTATCGCTGTTCTGCGAGATGTGGGAAGTGAGGTCGGAGCCAGATGCCATCAGCTACAACTCTGGGATCAGCCCTGGGATCAGAGCGTGTGCGAACGGCGAGCAGTGGCAGCAGGCTCTTCCGCTGCTCAGCGAGTGCGGGAGGCGAAGGTGGAGCCAAGCGTCATCAGCTACAGCTCTGGGATCAGCGCATGCACGAAAGGCGAGCAGTGGCAGCGGGCTCTATCGCTGCCCTGCGAGATTGGGGAAGTGAGGTTGGAGCCAGATGCCATCAGCTACAACTCTGGGATCAGCGCGTGCGCGAACAGCGAGCAGTGGCAGCAGGCTCTCCCACTGCTCAGCGAGATGTGGGAGCCGAAGGTGGAGCCAAGTGTCATCAGCTACAGCTCTGGGATCAGCGCATGCGCGAGAGACGAGCAGTGGCAGCGGGCTCTCTCACTGCCCAGCGAGATGTGGGTGGCGAAGGTGGAGCCAGATGCCATCAGCTATAGCACTGGGATCAGCGCTTGCGCGAAAGACGAGCAGTGGCAGCGGGCTCTATCACTGCTCAGCGGGATGTGGGAAGTGAGATCGGAGCCGAATGTCATCAGCTACAGCTCTGGGATCAGCGCGTGCACGAAAGGCGAGCAGTGGCAGCGGGCTCTCTCGCTGCTCTGCGAGATGTGGGAAGTGAGATCGGAGCCAGATGCCATCAGCTACAACTCTGGGATCAGCCCTGGGATCAGAGCGTGTACGAACGGCGAGCAGTGGCAGCAGGCTCTCCCACTGCTCAGCGAGATGCGGGAGGCGAAGGTGGAGCCAAGTGTCATCAGCTACAGCTCTGGGATCAACGCGTGGACGAACGGCGAGCAGTGGCAGCGGGCTCTATCGCTGCTCAGCGAGATGTGGGAGGCGAAGGTGGAGCCAGATGCCATCAGCTATAGCTCTGGGATCAGCGCGTGCGCGAAAGACGAGCAGTGGCAGCGGGCTCTATCACTGCTCAGCGGGATGTGGGAAGTGAGATCGGAGCCGAATGTTATCAGCTACAGCTCTGGGATCAGCGCGCGCACGAAAGGCGAGCAGTGGCAGCGGGCTCTATCGCTGTTCTGCGAGATGTGGGAAGTGAGGTCGGAGCCAGATGCCATCAGCTACAACTCTGGGATCAGCCCTGGGATCAGAGCGTGTACGAACGGCGAGCAGTGGCAGCAGGCTCTCCCACTGCTCAGCGGGATGCGGGAGGCGAAGGTGGAGCCAAGTGTCATCAGCTACAGCTCTGGGATCAGCGCGTGCACGAACGGCGAGCAGTGGCAGCGGGCTCTCTCGCTGCCCAGCGAGATGAGGGAGGCGAAGGTGGCGCCAAGTGTCATCAGCTACAATGCTGGGATCAGCGCGGGCGAGAAGAGGGGGCAGTGGCAACAGGCATTCGTGCTGCTCAGCGCGATGCTGGACGCGAAGCTGGGACCCGACGTCGTGGGTTACGGCAGGCGGGCAGGGCCGGCGGGCGCTGCGGCCGCGGGCCGCCGGGCTGGGGCAGCTCTGGCGGCCTTCGCGGGCGGCCTTGCCCGGGCACGGAGCGGAGCCGGCCGGGCCAGGGCCTCGAGCGCTCCCGCGGCTTCGAGGCCGAGGCACGCAGGGCGGCTCGGCCGGGCGGGCGGCGGGCGGCGGCGGCTGGCGGCGCGAAGACCGCGCGGTGGCTGGCGGGCCCGCCGGGCCGCCTAAGGCGACCGCGGGCGTCGGCAGCCCAGCCATGGGGCCAGCCGGAGGGAGCCAGGTGCAGCGGCCCCTTTCGCTGCGGACTCGGCCAGGGACTGGGACTGGGACTGGGAGAGGAACAAAAAAAAAAAAAGTCTGGCACCAGCTTCGCGCCCCACATCTCGCTGAGCAGCGCCAGAGCCCGCTGCCGCTGATCGCCCTTCTCACCTGTGCTGACCCTGGCGTTGTAGCTGATCGCGTTCGGCTGCAGCTTTGATTCCCGCATCTCGCTGACCAGCGCCAGTGTCTGTTGCTCCTGATCGCTCGTCGCGCCTTCCCGGATCCCTGCGCTGTAGCTGATTACGGCGGGTGCCAGCTTCGCATTCCGCATCTCGTTGGGCAGCGCCACTGCCTGATACTGGCTCTGAAGCTGATGGCGTTGGGCGGGGCAGCGTCCGGGCCCGCTGTCGCTGCCCGCCGTTCCCACATGCGTTGATCCCAGCGCTGTACCTGATTGCGTCGGGCTCCAGCTTCGCATCCCGCTTCTCGCCGAGCGGCGCCAGAGCCCGCTGCCACTGCTCGCCCTTCGTGTAGGCTCTGATTTCAGCGTTGGAGCTAATGACGTCGGGCCCCTGCTTCGCATCCCGCCTCGAACTGAACAGCGCCAGTGCCTGTCGCCACTGTCCTCTCTTCTCGCATGCGCTGGCCCCAGCGTTGTAGCTGATGGCGTCTGGCTCCAGCCTCGCGTCCACCGTCTCGGCAAGCAGCGCTGAGGCCCGCTGCCACTGCCCGCCCCTCTCGCCTGAGCTGGTCCCGACTCTGCAACTGATGATGCTGGGCGCGGTTGCCTAGGCGTCCTCCTCCTCTTCCACCTCCTCCTCTTCCTCCTCCTCCACCTCCTCCTCCGCCTCCTCCTCCTCAGCTTTCTCCTCCTCCTCCTCCTCCGCCTCCTCGTCGTCTACCTCCTCCTCGACCTGCTCAGCCTCCTGTTCCTCTTGTGCCATCTGCGCCTCTTCCTCCTCGACCTCCTCGCCATCCTCAGCCTGGGCCGCGTGGCTGGCGTAGGTGTTGGCCTTGGCGTGCGCGCTGGCGTAGGACTTCTTCAATTATGTTATGACGGACTTCGCCTCGACAGGCGACGCCCCGCCAGGGCTGATGGCGCCGCTGTCGGCGCTCGCGGCGCGAGCGCGGACAGCTGACCACGATCTGACGCACTTGCCCAGCGACCCGAAGTGCGAGGTCTGCCAGCAGGCTACGATCACCAGGGCGCCGGCTTTTCGGCGTGCGGCTGGCGACGACAATGTCGAGAAAAAGCAAGTGGCCGCGAAGGATGGCGAGAGGTTCCACTGCGACCTTGTCGGCCCGACGGCACCCAGCCTGCACGACGAGGTGTGCGCCATGGTGACGCGAGATGATGCTACGGATTACCCGGCCGCCCGCGGCCTTCGCACCAGGACGTCGGAGGAGACAGCGGAGAAGTTCGACGACATGTACTCTTCCACGACCGTGAGGGCGGTTCGCACAGACAACGGCGGGGAGTTCGACGGCGAGTTTCGCGAGATGCTGCGAGCACGCCGCGCCCGCAATGAGCGCAGCCTCCCACGGCGTCCACAGACGAACTCTCGTGCCGAGCGTTTCCATCGGACCCTGGCCGAGGGCACGCGGTGCTTGATGTTGGCGTCAGGTGTGCCCTATGCCTTCTGGGTGTTCTGCCTGACAGCGTTCGTCTTCCTGTGCGCCCGGGCGCCTTCTCCAGCAGGTGGGCCTTCACCGTGCGAGCGGCGATCCGACAAGCTGTGCGACTTGTCCAAGGTCCGCCCGTTCGGCTCGGCGTGCTTCTTCCTCGAGGACCGCGACCGCTTGGAGAAGTTCGAGGCCCGGGGCACGCTCGGCGTCGTCCTGGGGTACGGCCAGCTGCACTCTTACTACGTCCTCGACTTCAAGCACTACCTGGATACCGAGGGCGAGGCGAGGATCGTGCACACGAGAGACGTGAAGTTCCCCGCGACAGTCAGGTACCCGTTCAAGGAGGCAGAGACCGAGAACCCGGATGTGTTGTTGTGGGTCGAACGCCTCTTCCTCGACCCAGTCACGGACCTCGCGGCCACGGCTGATGAGCCAGGTCGCTGCGGGTTGTGCGAGAAGGGGGCCACGGACGCCGACCCTACGTGTAGGGCTTGCGTGCTCGGCGGGCGGCGCCGCCATGACATGGCGAAGGGATGCTTGCGTGCGCGTTGCTTGGGGCACGCGTCCTTAGACGTGGTTCCACCAGCGGCTGCCGATGTCCGCCCTTCAGCTGACGGCGGCGGTCCTCCAGGGCCCCCTGGCGACGGGGGCGGCGCTCCGCCGGACGACGCTTTCGACGACCCTGGAGGCGATGACGGCCAGCCGCCACCGCCGCCTCACCGGCCGCGATGGAGACGAGGCGCTCTTGGTGGAGATGGAGGTGGGCAGCATGGATTTGGGCTTAACTTCGACCCAGCACAAGATGACTCTGGACTGGTACCGCCGCGGCTCGATTTGGACACGACAGCACCCACGACGCCACTCGATCCTCATGGACAAGTTCGCCCGCGCACAGATTCGACACCGTCGTCGTCAGCACCAGCGCACAAGTAACGCATGCTCGACTTCGACGACTGCGACGAGAATGGGGGCGACAACGCGGGCGGTGCATCTTCGAGCGCTGGTCCTGCTGCCGGGGGCGCGGTGCATGCGTCTCGCTACTTCGGTTTGGTCACGCTCAACATCGATCCGCACGATTGGTGCTATGATTCCAAACCTGCTAAGGAAGCCACGGCAGTCGAGATCAATTCCCTCGCAGGCAACAAGGTGTGGGATCTAGAGAGCGTGGCTGAGTGGGGCGACGTCCGCGCTGCGGACAAGAAGGCGGAAGTCGTGGGATCGAAGCTGTTAATTTGGCGTTAAAGATTACGAGCTCATGGGCTGGACCGATGCAGAGCAGTATGGTGTCCCGCAGCTGGAAGATGCCACATGGAAGGCAAGGTTCGTATGCACAGGCAATCATATTGTTGGCGCTGATGGCCGCAAGGTTTGGCAGGTGGACAATCTCTACGCAGCTCCCGACGATCTTCACAATGCTCGTTTGGTAGTTCTGCACGGCGCCGCTACGGGCATCGTGCTCAAAGGCGACGTGAAGACAGCGTACTTACAAGCGGCTCCTGGGGGCAATGCCACTTGGCTCAGGCTTCCAAAGCACATGCGTCATCACTTGCCGAAGCGTGCCATGTCCAGGAAGGACCCAGTGGTGCGCTTGCTGAGGGCTCTTTATGGATTCCCGCGCTCTGGGGGCGATTGGGGCGCGCACTTCGCGCGCGCTCTCCGGAACGCTGGCTGGAAGAGCGTCGAGGGAGAGAAATCCTTGTGGATATCCCCGTGCGGCATGTGCGTCATGGTAATGTACGTTGACGACCTCGTGCTGGGCGGCCCAGAGAGGCCTGCCCGGATGCACCTCGACAAGGTGGGTCGCTTGGTGGAGCTCGGGCGGCTCGGTCCGCTCAAGCGCTTCCTTTGCACCCAGTGCGCGATGCAGGTGAAGGGCGGCGTCGCGGTCGTTGTCTTCTCGCATCCCGAGTACACCTCGCTCTTGATCGAACACTTCAAGAGGCAGTTCAACATCGGCGGCCCCTTGAAGGCGGCCGCCACTCCGACTGCAGCGGAGGACTTGGAGGCACAGTGTGGGCACGAAACTGGGCCGGGTGCAAAGCACGCCGCCATGCACATCGGCGGACAACTGTTCCTTGCCCGCTCATCTCGGCCAGACATATTATTCGCAGTTGGGTTCGTGTCTCGATACGCCGCGAAGTGGAGCAACGCCGCAGCCAAGCGTCTGCGACGCATCTTCGAGTACCCGGAGAGCACCTTGAGGTACGGCATCCGCTGGACCATCTACAACAAGGACGTCCATGACATCGGCTTGCGCGTGTTTGTCGACGCCGACCACGGCGGCTGCGAGGAGACAGCTCGCAGCACTTCTAGATGGAACGTGTTGGCCGTCGGGCGGAACACCAGCGCATTGATTGATTGGTGTTCCCGGCGCCAGGGGTCTACGGCCAAGAGCGCGCCAGAAGCAGAGGTCGTGGCAGGGGCCGACGCTTTGCAGGCGTCCTTCCCTCTCTGGGCGGCGGCCGAAGATATCTTTAACCGTGACATGTTCTTCCACGCGCACGTTGACAACGATGCAGCGCATGTGTCCTTCACCCAGGGGTACTCTCGCAAGCTTATATAGATGCGCAAGCACCAGCGCGTGAGTTTGACGGCGCGGGGGGCGAGGTCATCCGGGTGGCTACTAACATGAACAACTCCGACTTGCACACTAAGCCAGTCGGCCGCGTTGCATTCGAGAAGCATCGTGAGGCCATGGGTGTTGTGCAGTGCATTTGGGTTGAAGTTTTCAGCAGACAATGATATAGAGCAGCAAGTCAAACGTGTCTTGTTTTTGCATTTTCAGACATTGTCATGCCTCGGCTGTTCGTGCTCACCCTCAGATTTGCTCCGCCCGCTTCTGCCCAGAGCCTGCCGCGCGCCTCGCAAAGGGGGCGTTGTGTGAGCAGGGGTGGCAGGAGGGAGCAGTAGCATTGCATAGTTGGTGAGTCCTTCGGGCCCCTGTGCTTGCCTGCCGTGTAAAGCAATTCAGAATGCAGCGCAGCAGCTGTCCCGGTCAATTTCGCAACTCCTCTTGTTATGCGTGCATTAGCGGTAGCAGCAGTTCTTGTAGGTTGCATGCGCAAGCAATGTTGAGGGAATTCTTGCCCTCCGGTTTTCGGCCTGCTGCAGGGCGTGTGAGCGGAGCGTTCCGTATTCATGATGGCTGAAGAGGAAGGAGTGTGCACGTATAGCACACGCACATATCCCCACTTTGCACCCCAGAGGCATCGCGAGGGAAAGGGATGGCGGAAGCAAAGGGAGGGCGGCAGAACGGCAGCAACTAGAGCAAAGAACGCTAGCCACACGCGCATACCCAGCTTATCCCAAGTGCGCCCTGCGAACCGCTACGGCAACATAGCGAATTTGAACCGGGCGCGTCTCCTCTGACGCCCCTTCCCTGAACAGCTGGAACAAGGCGAGGGCGCGAGCAGAGGGGGCATGGCCACGAAACTGCCCGGTGACCAGCTAAGGCGGGACACTGGAGGAGGGCGTGAGACGCGTCAACATCGTCAGCCCCGCATGCAGCATACCGCGCCCGGCGTTGGGGTAGGATCGGAGCACCACGCACCGGGGAAGGCCAACACCCAGACATATGCACAACAGCCCACAGCCGCACCATGTGCCACGTGGGCGGGCCAAAATCCAGCGCGGGGCGCTGGGCAGGCGAAGAGCGGTCGAGCACTGGCAGAAACGCTGAGGCCGCCAGCTGAAACGCCGCCAAGTCAGCCGCCGCCATGGCTGGTCGAACAAGCCGGAGTTTATAGGGCCGCAGAACTGTCCTACGCTCCCCATGGGTCCGCCCGCGCTGCATCTAGAGGGCATGCTCTAAAGAGTGGACATTCCGTGGCCCGCGGGATGGGTCCAGAGAAAGCCGCCATGTACGAGCCCACTCTCCTTGCCCAGGTGCTGGCTGTTAGCCCATCCGCGAGAGCCAACATGGCGCGCGCGGGGTGCCCCTCCTGCTGGGGCTCAGCGCGGGCGAAGGCCATGATGGTGCGTTCCACCATTTTGGCCCCAAGCCGCAGGCGCCAGCCGCGCTGGGCATGCACGACCTCAGACGGAATAGGGGGACCGCAGGCGCAGCCCAACAGGCGGCGGGCCCGCGCTGCCTGGGTGGAGTTGCGCTTCCACTGCGCGCGGGCCGCGCAGAAAAGAGAAGGGGCAGGATACATAATTGCCGACTCAACGCGGGTTGGCACCACTGCGCACAGGACAGGCAAGGCAAATCCGCTCGTCTCCCCCGCAAAGAGGACATTCTCAAAAAGACTGTGCCCCCTGGCTATCGTCGCCTTTATTTAACAGGGGGGTGAACGACAGGGCATCGTCAAACTGGACGCCCAGTATTGCTTTTTGAGAGACCACGGGGCAACCGACATCCCCAGGTGGGGCGCTGCCACACATGGCAAGAGCCGCGGTCTTCTCTGAGGCGTAGTTGAAGCGCGCACGGGTGCGGAAAGCGTACCGTGAGCAAGCCGACTCTGGCTCCGACGACGCGATCGCGCGCAGGGCACCGAGGGGGCACGCGACGCTCAAGTCGTCCACAAATTGCAGTGGAGGCAAATGCCACGCCCCTAACAAGTCAACTAGGTAAGCGCGGTCGGCTTGCGACGGCAACCGAGCCGCCAATTCCCGGATCCTCGCGCAACCTCTAGCGTGAGGCGCGGGCTCCGCAGCAGCCGCCGCCGCCGCCGCCGCCCCTGCCGCCGCCGCATGGAGTTCAGCCGACGCATTAACCATGGCCGGGCGGCCCTCCGCCGGCGCGCCGAGGCCCCCCGGGGCGCCGCCAGACGGATGTGCGGGGGGCCCCCTGCTGCCGATCCATGCGGCAGTCGTTGCCCAACCTCGTGGTAGAGCCATTTCAGCTGGGCGTTGAAGACGGGGGTGCTAAACCGCCGGCCTTGGGCAGTGCCACCCCCTAGTTCAAAAGGCAGCGACGCAAGGCCTTGCAAGCCGCGAATTGACGGTCGGAGGCAATGAAGTCATCTAGCAGTAGCCAGTCGGTACCTTGCACGCCCGCCGAGTGGGCTTTGACGAGCATGGCCAGAGGGGTCGCCACATCAAAAGCCCACTGCAAGTCGGTGACCGCCCAATACACGGGTAGGCCCTGTGCCACCCGGCCTTGGGCATGAAGGAGGAGGGCGATAAGGAGGACCAGCGGGTCGCCTAACCCACCTTGTTGGGCCACCCCACAATAGGCCTCGACCCTCCCCTCCCCCCCCCTTCCTTACCCCCAGGCTGCCGCGCCCCCTTGCGGCCAGTGCGGACCCCCCGCGCGCCTAAGGTGAGTGTGGAGCGGGGGCATGCCCCAAAGGAGGGGGGGTTTCCGGCCGAAGCCAGGGCAACCCCGAACCTCCCGACAGCTAGCCGCCTTGCCGCCGCGGGCGGGCCGTTCCCGCCGCCTGGGGCCGCCCGCTCAGCTGCCGCTGGTCCCGCGACGCCCTGGGAGCGCCCGGGCGGGCCTGCCTAGCCGCCGCCCGCCGCCGCCGCCGCCGCCGCCAGCCTGCGCCTCGTGCCGCGGCGCCCGGCCCGTCGTTGCCAGCTGCCGCCCGGCCGCTCGTCGCAGCGCCGCGCCGCCGGGCCTGCCGCCGCCGCCGCCAGCCGGCGCCGCCGCCGCCGCCCTCAGCAGCGTTCGCGCCCAGCCTCGGGGCGGCGCTGGCGGCGCTGCTTTCGCCCTCCGCGCGGCCACGCCGCCGCGGGCCGCCGCGCTTCGCCGCGGCGCCTGGCCCGTCGCCGCCTGCCGCCGGTCGGCCGCCAGCCGCCGCGCCTCGCCGTCGGGCTTGCCGCCGCTGGCCGCCGCGCCCGCCGCCGCAGGTCGCTGGGCAGAGGGTTGCGGCGTTGGAGGGCTGACTCCTTCCCCCTCTGCCCTTGAACGAACCTGCGGCGGCGCTGCGCCTCGCCCCCGGCCGCGTCTGGCCTGTGCCGCGCCGGCGGGTCTGCCGCCTGTCCTCGGTGCGGCGCCGGCCGCGCTGCCTTCGCCCTCCGCGCCGCCGCGCTGCCTCGGGCTGGCGCCGGCGTCTCCTCCTCCGCCTCAGTCGCCGCCGCCGCCTCCTCCTTCTCCTCCTCCTCCTCTGTGCTGCTGGCTGCTCTCGTGGTGCTGCTGGTCGCCGTGCTACCCCTGGTCGTGGTGGTGCTGGTCGCCGTGGTGGTGCTGGTCGTACTGGTGCTGGTCGCCGTGGTGGTGCTGGTCGCTATTATGGTGCTGGTCGTGGTGGTCCTCCTGGCCGTGGTGGTGCTGGTCGTCGTGGTGCTGGTCGCTGTGGTGTTGCTGGTCGCCGTGGTGGTGCTGGCCGTGGTCGTGGTGGTGCTGGTCGTGGTGGTGGTGGTCGCCGTGGTGGTCCTCTTGCCGTGGTCGTGCTGGTCGTGGTCGTGCTGGCCGTGATCGTGGTGGTGCTGGTCGCGGGGGTCGTGGTGGTCCTCCTGGCCGTGGTCGCGCGCGTCGTGGTGGTGGTCGCCGTGGTGGTGCTGGTCGTGGTGCTGGTCGTGGTGGTCCTCCTGGTCGTGGTGGTGCTGGTGGTGGTGCTGGTCGCCGTGGTGGTGCGTAGTCGTGGTGGTGCTGGTCGCCGTGGTGGTGCTGGTCGTGGTGGTGCTGGTCGCCGTGGTGGTGCTGGTCGTGGTGGCCCTCCTGGTCGTGGTTGTGCTGGTGATAGTGGTGCTGGTCGCTGTGGTGGTGCTGGTCGCCCTAGTGGTGCTGGTCGCCGTGGTGGTCCTCCTAGTCGTGGTGGTGCTGGTCGTGGTGGTGCCGGTCGCCGTAGTGGTGCCGGTCGCCGTGGTGGTGCTGGCCGTGGTTATGGTGGTGCTGGTCGTGGTGGTGGTGGTGGTCGTGGTGGTCCTCTGGCCGTGGTCGTGCTGGTCGTGGTGGTGGTGGTGCTTGTCGTGCTGGCCGTGGTCGTGCTGGTCGTGGTCGTTGTGGTGCTGGTCGTGGTGGTGGTCGTGGTGCTCCTCCTGGCCGTGGTCGCGCTGGTCGTGGTGGTGGTCGCCGTGTTGGTGCTGGTCGTGGTGGTCCTGCAGGTCGTGGTGGTGCTGGTCGTGGTGGTGCTGGTCGCCGTGGTGGTGCTGGTCGCGGTGCTGGTCGCCGTGGTTGTGCTGGTCGCCGTGTTGGTGCTGGTCGCCGTGGTGGTGCTGGTTGTGGTAGTCCTCCCGGTTGTGGTGGTGCTGGTCGTGGTGGTGCTGGTCGCTGTGCTGGTGCCGGTCGCTGTGACGGTGCTGGTCGTGGTGGTGCTGGTCGCCGTGGTGGTGCTGGTCGCCGTGGTGGTGCTGGTCGCCCTCCGCCCTCCGCCTCAGTCGCCGGCGGCGCTGACTTCGCCCTCCTTGCCGCCGCGCTGCCTCGGGCCGGCGCCAGCGTCTCCTCCTCCGCCTCAGTCGCCGCCGCCGCCTCCTCCTCCTCCTCCTCCTCCTCCTCCTCCTCCTCTGTGCTGCTGGCTGCTCTCGTGGTGCTGCTGGTCGCCGTGCTGCCCCTGGTCGTGGTGGTGCTGGTCGCCGTGGTGACGCTGGTCGCCGTGGTGTTGCTGGGCGTGGCCGTGGTGGTGCTGGAATTGGGGGTGGTGGTGGTCGTGGTGGTCCTCCGGCCGTGGTCGTGCTGGT